TAAATGTGTTGTGTTTGTTTGTACTGATGAAGGCATGTGCCGAAACGTTTAATTCTGTATAATGTACAATTATTATTAAAGCTAACTCATATTGTTCTATTGACACAATTTGTTCGTGTCTTATTAATATATTTTAAAGCTTTATTGCAGTCCAACACTTTTTATAATTGGAAAGGTAACAACTGTTTAGGCTCATTTTAAAAAAAAAATGAATCTTTTAAACAATTTGCCGTAAGTTATGCTCATTACATTTAGCTTGAAATCAATCGTGGCATCTCTGGATCTTGTGAACATAAATACTACAACTTAAAATTTTTGGTGAGGATTCCCAATCCCATAACTGCAGGCCAGAATAATGACCTCATTTAAAGACTGAAAAAAAACCACAACTATTTGAAACAAGTTGCTGTTGGATTGCATCTATTGCTAGGACCAAAATATGGCTTTGTTGGTAAAACAACAATAAAATGTATCTTGAGATGGTTGTTTGGAAAGTTTGTGATATACCAGTCAGTGTTCTGAGGTTTATGAAAGTGTGCTTCTGATACATTAAGCAGTGACACTATAAACAAAAGTTTTGGTTTATGAAGGAAACAAACATACCATAAATATGCATGATAATATATATAATTTATATAAATTTATATACTTGATATGAACATTACAGCCCAACCTATATCATTTAGCTATACACAAATGTGTCCACTTTGTTCACTCAGTTGTGGTGGCAACTTCACCAAAGGGTGCTGGTCCAGACCTAAATGTGACCATAGCAATAATTTGCTTGCTATGATGTCAGTGCTGGGCACATTTACTGTGTTATAAATTATGATCTCTCTACATTGTTGTAAGGGCCAGTCCTGCTGTGTCCAATGTATCCACTCCAAAATATAAAATAAGTAACAAATTGAAAAGGCTGATAAAAAACAGTACAAGAAAGTTGTTCCTGGACTTATAAGTGTTAACAAAATTTGATAAGGCCCCTTTGATCCATCGTATATTTACACAACATGCATATGTTGTGAAGGATATCTGGTCTTCCTTTTCCTATCGGGAGATTCACTAAAGATTTGATGATAAAATTTAGGAATTAACACAGCATTGGATATTTTTCTGTTGAATGTACAATCATAATAGGTTTATCATATACAGTGCATGTAATATAACAATCCTTTGCCTCTGTCCACTAAAGTAATTTTACTCCTGTGCCAATTATGTGTTATTTTGGGCACCATTGTTGCAGGTTATTACAGTTGCAGTATTAAAGTAAGACTGTTCTTTTCTTCCATTAGAATATAAAAATTTTGACGAAAATTTTTAACTTTGAAAAATCATTCTCTTCATGTGTCAAATTTGTATCTTTTATTTTATATGTTAATTTTGTAAATAAATCTGTCATCCACATTTTAAATGGTGCAGTGCTCAATTCATAAACATCTATTTAAAGTGCATGTGTGTGTTCAATTGATTATTGAAATACTTATTTTTTTAAGGTGACTTTGAATTACATAACAAGCAGTGCATGAAACATTCCACATTATTTTAATTGTATGGCTTCATAATATTTTGTGATCATGGTTGATTTTTAAAAAAAAATTAGATTGATATTATTATTTTTTTCCTTGATTCTTTGAAAAATTTCTGTAGCAGGGCCAAAAATACAAACTGGTCTGAGCTCCAATATTTTTTCCAGCCAACTATAATTTATTTTTCACCAAGACTTTCTCTCTACAGCTTAGATAGATTTCACTTAGCGTAGATATTTGTTCTAAAGCCAGTTTGTTCATAATTAGGACCCCCCATAATCCGGTCAGAAGCTGGCCCATAAAATAATATCCCAGTGTAAGCAATTCAGGACCAAATAATATCTAGGATGAGATTATGCCATGCTAAAAATGACTGAATAGTGATGCCATCTACTTCTGGTCTCTTTGTTATTATGTGTTGTGGTAAACGAGTGAAATAAAAAAATGTTGAAATCAAAATTGATAAAACATGACACTAAAAATTTATTTTAATTCAAGAAGAAACTTAATCAAATAAATTAAAAAGGTAAGTGCAGATTATATTTAAAATTTGAAGCTTCTGGTAAAAAAAATATTAAAATCTTCTATTACGGTAGATTAGGACATTGGCGATCCATAATAACCATTTTGATTATTCGGTGTACCTGGCGAAAATTGTAAAAATGTCCTATGACTGTCTTAGCTGACCATCTCACTCAAGCCCCTGAAATATTTCTCCATTAAAATGAGTATGTATGGTAAATGTTTAAAATGAATGAAATTCGTTTACCAAAATTATATGAGGTATATATACATAATATATAATTTCTCATTTTGGTTTAGTCTCCTTACCTATATATACTGATATAATTATTGTGGGGTTCAACAGTATTTATGGGTGTTAGATTATGTTTATGTGATTTTTTTTTATTGCTATTTTCATATTTCTAGCAATTTTCAAAGGGATGCAAGGCATTTGATGTTATAGTTTTATATTTGAATGGTAGTGAACATTATGACAATCACTATCAACTACTCCAACAGCAATTTCTACTCTGACCAGGTCAGCTTGTCATAACTCAAACAAGACCTGTTTTCTTCATTTAAGTTTCTTCTGTTTTTTTAGATCTTATATATATATTATTTTTGTTTTTAGCTTTACATTTATTTGCCTTTTCTGATCTATTCTTCACCAAGTTGAGCTGTGTATAAATATTTATTGTTTCCTTATATATTGCGCTGTGTTTTGTTATCACATCCTTTCACAGATCGGGGGAAAAGGTTTTGTTCTGACTTCCCCTACATTGAATTTAGTGGGTATTGATTCTAAACATGACCTGCATGAAAACATGACATGCATGTTACATAATCACTTATTCTGTTGTCTTAAAGGTTTAGCTAGGTGCAACAACAAAAAAATGTTCAATTAGCACATACAACTGCATGTGTCAGATTTGATGTAAATTGCAATTATTTGAAATAAATGGGTAGGGTAATGGAATAATTATAATTGTCGAAGCAAGCATTTGGAAAGTCAGGTCAGTGATTAATCAGTGACAGACACTTTCTTATAAAAAGTTAGAAAAAATTAATATGTCAATTCTTAGCTAGAGACCTTGGGGTCTAAGCAAGTTACACGTAATAATGAATAGAAATGTTATATATATATTATATTGATAATAGATATATGAGAAATAAATAGAAACAGTTGTTTAAAGCTTGATATTTATTTGGACACCAACAATTTGTGTCAAATAACAATATAAGGTAAGTTAAATTATAATTTTACAGAATACAAAAGTATACGTTTCGGCACGTGCCTTCATCAGTACAACCAAAAGACAATTAAATTGATATTTATTTGTAAGCTTTGATTTTTATTCTGTGAAAAATTAAAAGTTCAGGTCAATTATATTCAGCAAGCCAGAAAAAAAAATAAGGCCAAATTGTGATTACAATCACTTTTTGGTACACTTTTTTGTGTTTTCATCTCATTACAATTCACCTTTGAAAAAAATGAAGATTTAATTTGTGAAATATTCTCTTGCTTTAGTTACAAGAGGGTATTATCAGAAATCTCATGACAAATGTGCTTTGAAACATCCCTGAATTGTGCAATCAGTATGAATTAAAAATATTTTCCTTTTCATAGAATAGAGACAAAGGTTTTATTAAGCACAGTGGTACCTCAAATAACACATAAATAATGAATAGCATTTGTTAATAAAATAAATACTAACAAGAATCTTATCCTCTTAGAATATTTAGAATATTTTCTTTGGTGTAAATAAATGCATCACTTCATCTAATTCAAGGTATTGATTCCCAGACTCTTTGTTTCCTGTTTTTGCTTACTCACATTCTGCAACAGAGCATTAGGTGTGTAAACTGATTTAATTTTACTTTAAGTAGCATATGAACAACCCTGTTAATGTCATAAGAGCAGCATTATTGTGTTTTCACAATTTACTTGCCAATGTATATGACTCCTCACTGAACATGCTAAACTGATTTCTCTGTGTTAATGATGGAGCATTATGAACATATTATTTTCATGCAGTTCTCTAGAAGTGAATGACATCGTGAGGAGGTATTTTACCATTTTGGACAATTATGGATTGGGGGGGTATTACTAATTGTAAAGTTTTCTGAATTCCAGTCTATTACCTTGAGTCAGAGTAATGTTTACAACTCAGATTCCTGGTAATACTAGTTATATGTTGTGTGTATATATTTCATGGCAAAGTTACAAATGCATTTATTTTGGATTTACAAAAAAAGAAATGTTTATTGGGTAAGTGGACTTAGTGTGAGACATTTCATTTAAATATGACTGATTTCATATTTTATGTTTACAAAACAGTTAGTTAATTTTTATATTGGATTGGTAAAAAAATAGAATAGTTAGTTAATTTTTATATTGGATTGGTAAAAAAATAAT